TATTTCACACACAAAAAAGCTCTCACTAGCAAGAGCCATATCATCTATTGTTTAGAAATATTACTAGCAAAGGAACAAACATTATCTATAATGTTCAAGGACCCCTAATACTACTTTGAGTCTCACTAGATCATATGTAGTCCCTATCTATAGGATTTAAATTATTGCCAAGAGTCTGTTGGTTTACTTACACAGTCTCAATAAGTCCCCAAATATTGTTACCTCAGGGCTATGTAATTCTTAAAGTTATCCTTTCTGGTTTTATTTGGAGATAGAATTAAAGTGTACATTAAAGAAAAAAATGGCTTGAACAGGATGATTGAAGCATTCTCCTATAAAGGCTAGTTAGAACTTGAAAGGTGGTCACCTCTTGCATACTGCTTTAGTAATGAATATATGTTAAGGATGAATTGATCTCTACCCTGTGAAGAAATAAAATGAAAGATATTCAAAATGTGAATTAGATTAATCTAAGTATAAATGTTTAATTCTGCCACATTATGGCAGGGGTCTTTTTGTTATGCTTCAGAGGCTACAAGGGAACATAAACAGACCTTCAAAGTGAAAGTACAGCAGTCTTTACAGACCAAGCCCTGTAAAATGTTGGCTTCCTAAGTGAGAAGCTAGCTAAATGATACAAATACAGAAATTTTCTTCACTGCAGTAATATACTGATTTTGAGGGGATAAATGAGCAGTTACATCTTAAGAACTGCAAAGTCAATAGCAAGTACCAAGATTGTGACTAGGATAACTGCATTAATTTAAGATGGTTATGGGCAAAATATGGCCTACAAACCCACTGGATGCGGCCTGCAGATACTGCGGGCAGCCCCAAGCAGGCTCCCTGCTTGCCTCGTCCCACTCGCATGCCACTCAAACGCAGCTGAGAGGTGGTTTCACTTTAAAAACGGAGCCAGGAGAGGGGAAGGCTTTAAGAGCTGCTTCCACCCCCCAGTATAATCCCAGTGGCCGGCTTCTGGCCAATGGGAGCAGTCCATTTAAAAAAAAACAGGCAGCCATGAAGCCCAAGGGGCTCATAGTTATTCACAGAGCACATGGCTGCAGCCTGTGCGGGGGCAGGGCAGGCAGGCAGGCTGATTCAGGAACAGGCTACTTGGCTGGTAAGTCTCCTGGCCAGAGCCTGCCTCTAGCACCACAGCCCCTCCCTTTCTCAACCCTCTGCCCCCCACTCCTGCCTCCCTGATCCAAAACCCAAACCCTTTGCTCCCTTCCTAAACCCATACCCCTCCCAGATCCTTCACCCCAATCCCCTGCCCCAGATCACAATCCCCTCCTGCCCTAATTTACAACCCAACCCCATGCATCCCAGTCCAATACCCCAGGTCACAACTGTCTCCTTCTCCCAAACTCCCTCCTTTATCCCAAGCTCCCTTCTGTACCCAACCTCCATCCCATACCCTGTACCTCCACCACTAATATCATGGAAGAGTGAGGTAGCCCTCGACCACTTTCCAAATTCTTGGAGTGCCGCCCTCCCCCATCAAAAAATATTGCCCACCCCGATTTAAGGTATAGCGCATGATCAGGGCTCGCCAGCCGCACTGTCTGGCGATCTGCACATGCGCACAATGCCCGAATCCGGCTCTTCCAGGTTGCAATCTACTCGCCATGGGCAAGTAGATTGTATTATTTGTCGAGCGCTGCGCATGATTTAGAGATAACGTACTATTTAGAAGAGAAAAATGGTTTAGGTGGTTCCTTGTCTCAATCTATTACTATGGCTCTAAACTAGAGTCTTTGGCCAGGACTGCTCTTGTGGTATGTCTGCTGCAGCTTGACTATCAATCTGGGTACACAGTAGTAGATTAGCCATGAGGCCGATGAGTCTGTGCCCAGGGCCCACCCACTGGGGGACCCCAGAAAAATGGGCACCCTTTGGCTCCTGGACAGAGCAGGACCTAGCAGCTCTTCTCCCTGTGCTTGGAGCCGTTCCTCAGCAGCTAGATGCTGCCTCCCGGGTCTTAATGTTGGTTTCTTCCACAAGTGAGAGTGTGGGCGAAAGGGGGGAGAAGAGAGGCAGCTGAGAAAGTGGGGAGGCACAGAAGAAAGAAGGGGATACAGGAACAGGAGTCAGGGAAGTTCCTTGAGCAGCAGCAGCAGCCCTGGCAGAGAGTCAACTGCTGCAGCCATCCAGTGTCACAGTGGTCACCAGCAGTAGCTAAGGCTCCCCTCTGTTATGCCTTCCTGTCTCCTCTTCCCCCTTTCTCCTCCCATCCAGCACCAAAAGAGTGGGGAGGCACAGAAGAAAGAAGGGGATACAGGAACAGGAGTCAGGGAAGTTCCTTGAGCAGCAGCAGCAGCCCTGGCAGAGAGTCAACTGCTGCAGCCATCCAGTGTCACAGTGGTCACCAGCAGTAGCTAAGGCTCCCCTCTGTTATGCCTTCCTGTCTCCTCTTCCCCCTTTCTCCTCCCATCCAGCACCAAAAGAATGAACCAAGGAAACTGACTTCAGTGTGCAGGATTGCACACATGCTTTGTCCTCTGCAAATATAGCTGTCAAACTATAGCTATGACCCAGACTGGGGGAGCACTATTTCCCTGCTACAGCCTCGGGGCATGAAGAAGGGGTGGGACACAGAAACTTAACTTCTCTTTCACCGATGGAAAGTGGGTGGGGGAGAATGGGAATGACCATGTGAGGAACAGGGCAGAACAGGTTGGGGCTGTAGGCAGAAGGGGTGGAGAGGGTTATCCCCATTTGCTCTGTCCCAGGGCCTCACAAAACCTTTATCTTCAACTGCCTAGTTGACTGTGCTTGGGTAACTAGCCTGAGCCACAACATCTACAGTGTAGTTAATTTTTAGCACTGGCACAAATTTGTCTACTAAGCCTGAGGCACAGGCTCCCTGCTGCAGTTTAGACTTAACCCCCCAAAGTCCCTTCTTCCTCCAGTACCACCATCAGATACTCTGACCCTGGGTTCTTGCCTTTTGGCAGTTTGGGCATTGAGAAGATTAGGATATGGTTTAAGTTTGACATTTAAGGAAAGAGAATTGGGCTAAAGTTAAAAAACCCTATCTGGGAGAGCCTGCCATTTGCTCCTGCTGCCTTTTCCCATGCAGGAAAGTCTCTTATGGGATCATAAGATTCAGATCAATATCTACTTCATAACTTTTGGAGGTGTACACCACATTCCAATCTCAAAGGTGTGCCGATGAGCAAGGTGGTGACCCAGTCTTGTGTAAGGAGTTGGGGGTGAGGTGGAGCACGGGCCTTTTCTCCCCTTCTCATTTGAAAAACTTCGCAGCTACCAACTGTGTTTTCTGTCCCCCACTCCAAACTTCATCTCCAGTTCTGTGTTCAAGGGGCTATTCCAGCGTGTCAGCAGACAAAATGGTGGAGCCCCAGCCCAGCTGGCCACTCCCTTGGTGGTACAGCTGTCCTCCAGTGGACACTCCGGAGGATAGCTATGCCCTGCAGGCTCGCTGCCCCAGTGGCCACTTTCATACTACAACCCTTCGAAGAGCAGCCCTTGCCTTTGAAGGGGACTTCCAAATGTACTGACAACCAAAACCTGACCTTGGTTTAGTTAGGAGAAGGGGAAGATGCCTATCAAATTAGGTGGCCTAGCTCTTACTGTGTAAGAGGAATTCTTAGACAGACACACAAACACACTCTAGAATACATAGATTTCAGAAATCCACCTCCTCTCTCTTTTGGAGAATAGTTTGTCCTCAGTTTGGTATTTCTCTACTGGTAAAAATCATAGTTACAATTTTGTTAATTTCCTGGAATCTGGATCAGGTCTTGAGGATGGATGCAAAGAGAAGTTTTTTACCCTGTACAGATCTTTGAGATTTTCCCCCCCCCTTATGGGTGCCCCACAGGGCCCATGAGTATCACCTGAAGCCAAGCTGAGAATTCTTTCTTCCTATCCTATAAATACCTCTGTTTCCAGAGTTTGATGTTTCATGACAACCCAACCCCAATTTTTAAATTTTCAGATACACAGATCCATTTTGGGGTAATGCTTGGCAATAAAATTATAAAACGCTTTTTGTACTCCGATTTCTAACAAAGCTTTTACAATTAAGAGTAATGTTTGATTAAAAAGAGTAATGCGGCAAATCTTGCAAGAGTTTGCAGTTATCAGTCACTATCATAATTAACAAAAACTTTTCATTCACAAATCAGATCCACTTACTTGCTCACATCATATGATAATACTCAATATTGGACAATTTCACAAGTCAAATCATGATTATTTGCAATTAAGGAAAGCTAGATTATAAAGGGAAAGGGTCCAAGTTGAACCACCATGAGTGCAGAAGTGTTTAAATTTAAATTTTCCATTAGTAAGGCTTTCTTCAGAATTTTGGGATAATTCCATTGATTACCTGCTCTGATTTCCTTCAAGACATGTGCTACCTGCCTGAAAAAAGGTATACGTTTGATATCTATACAAGTCTCCTTCCACTACAGGAGAACTCAACAGATTAATGTAGATAATGTTACAGAAATAATTCACTTACAAAAGATAAACACATACCACTGGAGCAAGAAATACCAATTGCTAGCAAACCTACAACTTGTCTTCTACAAAAAAGACTTAAGAACTTTTCCCATGTATTGTATAAATGGCATATTAATTCAATCAGGAGTTGTACAACTCAAGGGTAAACAGAAGAAGTCAGTTGACTTAATTGTATTTGCATTGTAAATTAAAAATATATAATAATGTGTTATTCAATTAGTTCAGCTATAGAGCACACTTTTGGATAACCCATTTAAATTACTGACTACATAAACAATTCATCTTGAAGTTAAATTTTTAGAGACCAGAATAGGCTGCTACAGAAAAAGCAACTGCAAAGTTCTAATTACACCTTGAAGAAACACTACAAAGAGCTTGATTACAGAAGATTGAATAACAGTCTCACTATTTCATTGACGTCTATGTTTCGCTGCCATGTAAAATGGTAGCTAAAGTGTCTTCTCAGAGAAGAATAGAAGTGTATATAAACAAGTGATACTTACCACATATGACCCTATTAAAAGTGCCGCATTTGCTCGTTTCCGTTGATCAAAAGTGGTATAGTGGACTATTTTCTTTCTCGATAGACTGAAAGACTGTTTAAAGAAAAAGGAGAAGGATGCATTAGCTATGTTAAATTACAATAAGTCACAAGACTTAGAGCCATTTTCAACTTGCTAATCAAAAATATTATGGAGGTGGGTGCGGTAATCTCTTACTGGAACTTCTGCTGGTGAATGGGTCCCAGAGCGTAGACTTCAGCTGTGGTACAGACATTTAGGCTCATGTTAAACAGACCACTGTGCTCACAAGGACTCAGACTGAATCAGCTGGCATGGGCCTGCCATGCATTTTTAACTAGTGTAGATGTAACTTTAGCATTAGACCTAATCTTATTTCCTGCATTGATTTTACTAATCCTCCTAAAGCCACCCAAAAGGAAACGGTTAGCAGCACAGACTACCAGATAAAAGTCACAGTGACTAAGTATTTAAAAACAGCCATATTTAGTTCACAAGGTTTTTCTTTAGAATTAAAGACCCATTCTTATTGAGACTTTATAATCATTGAAGTCTCAGAAATCTATAACTGATTTAAAACTAGAATACTGTTGGTTAAAGCACATGTAAACTAGGAATGTTAAAATGCGTTTGTTTTTGTAAACATGTAACTACTAAAAATTTCAGCAGTTACATGCTTACACAAGGGGAGAAAGGGAAGCGGAAGCAGGAGCCGGTGCTCGTAGGACTTTTGATACAGAGGCAACAGTGCAGGGGTGTGAAGGAGGGCACTCCCCTCCTTGGTAAAGGGGCAGGCAGCTATGTGTAACGTAAGGGTTAACTAATGAGCCAATACTCAGTTAACTGCATACAAAGATATATGTTCACATCCCTGATCTAAACCACAACGATACTGTGAAATTCAGCTCACTCAGTGAACGTGTTGAATAACTAAAAATATAATTCCAGTAAACTGTGCAAGCTTCAGATCACAATGCATTTTTCAGAAAGTGTAAAAATCCATGCTCATCTATTTCTGCAAATGTTTTAAGCAATATTTGTGAAGACTGAATTCAGAGGGAGCAGGTCTGACAGAAACCTCCCTCAGATTAAGCACTGAAAACTAAGGAGTGTTGCATGCTGCCACAGACTTCCCCCCCCCCCAAGAATTGCTGGTACAGGTTTAACCTCTCTAGTTCGGCATCCTCAGAACCAGACCAGTGCCAAATCAGAGAATATGCTGAACCACAAGAGGTCAATATTATCTAACAGCATTACTAACACTTCCACTGCTTACTGGGCTCTTAGAAGACAACAGCTCAGAACACAGAGCCAGGACTGGACTGGTGGCTGTAAAAATTTATGGGACCACAGAAAACTCCGTCACACACATAAGTGGGCAGCCCACTAACTAAAATCATCCATGGTCCAGGCTGGTTCAACCTGTAGTTTTATTGGTGCTAACCCTATTGACTTTTAGTACATACTGAAAATAAAACAAACTATAAGTTTCTATATGGGTTCATATGAAAAAATCTTCAATACAAAAAAGAATTTCTTTAAATGAAAGCCAAAAATAGTTGACAAAATATAAGAAGTTTATTGTAATATATTAATCAGTTTCTTTATTTTTGTCCTCCATAGGGATAGCCCCTTTAGCAGTGGATCTGACTGTATGTTTCGATAAGCTGGTCTTATTCACCACTCCTTACACAGGAGGATAAACAGTATGATTTAAATTAATGTGACTGTAGTACATCTAAATGGGACTATAATCCCTCAGAGTGGGGGAGGGCATCTTCATCAATTACAACAGATCATGCTTGGAGACAGACAAGCATGACCTGCTTTATATTTATTTTCAAATCCCCATCTTCTCTGGAATTCAACCAATATTAAAATCAGACTAGCCACACCAATAGCTCAAAAATATAGATATAAGCTTTTTCTTTATCACATTTGGCCAAAATCAGAGAACTCTGGATGCCAATCTCTTATGCTCTAAATCGGACAAAATTACAGTAAGAGTGCCACACAAGCTATTACAATTGCATTTTATTGTCTACATCTTATAGTTTATAGCAATAGAATTATTTTTTAAAAAGGGTAAATTATTTCTATATATAAGAGTATTGTGGAATTTGCTTTTTAAAAAATTGGTTACCAATCATGTAAAAGTCTCCTCTATTTAAGCAGACATTTTAGCCATTTTTAAAAAATAGAGTGACAAGAGACTTCAGTAACACTGTATGACAGATAGTGTTCTTGGTGTACCGGGGCACAGGTGGGAGAGCAACATACCCTCAAATTCTCAGAAGTATCTCTGACATTTAAACTATTGGAACAGAATTTTGCTCCTATGTTGTTCAAAAAGAAGTGAAAGCTACCCTTTAATCTCTAGGGACCCAGATAGTGTACATTTAAAATCAATTTTTGATAAGCTTGGAGCTTTGAATATGAAATTGAAAACTTGTCTTGAACTGACATGAAAAAAATTGCAATACAGCAAATGCTGAAGGAAATTTCCAAGACAAACATTTGAATTGCAAATTCCAGGAGATTCAGAAATGTAGAACAGTACCTCCATGCTATATTAAATCCTATTCATGTGGGAACAATGGCTACCATTATTGGTTGAAGTCACACTGTTTGCAAAAGCACTGCATTAGGTATCAACACTTCAGGCCCAGCATCAATTCCAGTTTCACTGCTATAGCTAAAGTTAGACAGACTAGAATTAAATGCAACAGATTATATTTAACATATTAACCCAACAGATACCAGTTCTTCAAGCTGATCCATGTGGGAACAAACCTAAAAAGCACAGACTCCTCTGAGATTTGTGGAGTGTCACAGATGTCCACTATTGAGATCAGCTCACAGCAGTGGTTCTCAAACTTTCTGGCCCACAGCACACTTGGCGTAGTGCAAACCTTTTCATGGATCATCAGCCAGCCGCTCATGATGACAAAATGCCATCACTTACCTCTAAATACCCAAATACTAACTTATTCATATTAGGCTACCGGAGCTATAACGTAAGGGTGTATATAACGGTAAGAAAGAAAACATCAAAATCAAAATACAAATTAAGTGCTTTAACTTTATCATGTTAGCTTACTAAACTTCATTTTAAATAAACTAAAACGTTAATATATGTCCAAAACAAAAGGTTTCAATTTTGTCTTTATTTAGCAGGGATAGGGAACCTTTTTTGGATCGCGAGCCACTAATCCACAGAAAGATCAGTAAGGGGTCACAAAACCCTCCCCCCACCCCCACAAAAAAAAAAAAGAACAAAAAACCTAACCCTCATTGACATGGCCCTCAACTGAAAATCACTCCCCTGGCACCATGGGGTGGAAAGGGGGCAAGGAGGACCAAGGTTCAGGGCTTCCCATGGGCCAGATTAACTCTTTTGGGGTTAGTGGATTGTGATCTCCCCAGGCTCTGGGGTGAGGCCAAAAATGAGGGGTTCAATACGAGGAGGGAGCTGCCAGGGAGTGGGATAGGGATGGAGGATCTGGGTGGGAGCTTGGGGCCAAAAAGGGAGGTGCAGGAGCAGGCTGGGGTGGGGGGGGGGGTGGGTGAAGAGGGTCTGGAAGGGACAGAGGGTACAGGTATGAGCTGGGGATGGGGAGTCTGGCCAGGAAGGGATGGAGGGCACAGGAGAGGGCTGAAGGTGGGGGTTCTGGCCAGGAGGGAGGGTGCAAGAGTAAGGGAAGGTTCATGAAAGGATGGGGGGGCACTTAACTCACTTTGCACCCCCTACCACTCCCAAGAGTTACTCCCTCTGGCTGTGACCCCACCCAGGGAGAGGGGGAGTGGCAGCGCACGGAGCCACTTGCTCCCCTTGCAAGGCTCAGAGCTTTCTCTCCACCAAGTGGGAAACCAGTACTGGCACTCCAACCTCATGGGGATAGGGGGAGGGAGAGAAGGGAGGGCTGGAGCACCAGGGGCTGAACCTCAAGTTGGGACACACCCACAAGGTGGCGGCATATCATTAGTGGTCCATGGACTGCAGGTTTGAGAACCACTGGCTTACAGGGACAGGCCTTTAGTTATGCTATAGCACTTAGAAATAGTAATACCTACAGTTTAAAAAAATTTACATGTGGAAGGAAAAAAGTGTCGCGATGTCTTATTTTAAAGAGAGTTAGTATATGGCACTACAGAGACTACAAAAACTAGCTGAAACAATGTTCCCTCTAATCTTTTCCATCCATGTGCAGAATCAATTTTTTTATGCAGTAAGGCACATGTGAACAAGCACCACCATAGAAACAAACAAATAAATCTAGCTATGGGCAATATGCTAACCCACTTAGTGGCAGCTGAATCTTTCCTGAATGGCTACCCAAGTGCACAGCTTATAGGGAGCACAGGATATAAGTAAAGAACAATGTAATATGTTTAATGCAAAGAACTGAGAATATTTTCTCTGGTTTTCTAGGAAGTCATCACATAGTATTGTAGTATTTATGTATATCAAAAATATACCTTAAAGTTATTTTAGTAATTTAATTAGAGTTAACTATACACAAACCATCAGGCTTATTTATCACTATAGAAATATGTTAAGGAGGCAAAAGTCCACTTAGACAAAACATGCCAACAGTGCTATACATTTCATGGTAAACCCTGAAATACGTTATTTTTAAGTTAAAGCATCTAACAGTATGTCCTTCTGTAATATAAAAAAAATGAAAAGCAACATACTACTCTCTAGTTACAAGAAAAAAATTAACCCATTCATTTTACACAACAGAATCACCAAAAAGTTCATAATGTTCAATTATAAAGTGATCCAAGACCGAGTAAGCCTTACAAAAGAGAATGCTATAAATTTTAAAAATTCTCAGTTGTGCTGTGATTAGATTAGCATTTCATTAGAACTGTCACTGGATGTCACAAATATACTAATCAAGTAATATGGCACAGCCCTCGCATTATTCAAGGTGAACATACTGCTTTGCATTTAACAGAAAGTTAGATTTATCTGAACTTCTTAGTTATAATGTAAGAAAAAGTTTAAAAACTTGTCATCTAGCATAATTTGGAGTCTGAAGCCCTAAAGCTCTGTGCAGTGTTCAAAA